CTGCTGGCTGTGGCAAAATGCACAATTTCGTGTTTCTTCATGAGGGCTTCAAATTTCTTATTAAAAAATTCTTTACCGGAATCCGTTTGCAATTTTTTAGGGACACCGCTGTCTTTCAAAACTGAAGCAAAAGCTTCTGTAACATCTTTCCCCGATTTGTTTTTCAGGGCTCGTACATAGGCTTTCTTTGAAAATACATCTATGACGGTTAATAGGTAATTAAAGCCGTCGTTTGATTTTGACAAGGCCTGCATGTCGCATAAGTCAGCTTGAAACTGTTTTAGCGGCCCTGAGACAAAAACCTTATTTCTCGGAAAATGAACTCTTGCAGGTTTGTGAAGTGTATAGGCGTCTTGTTCTGAGAGAAAATCGCGAGCCTTATCCGATGAAACTTTCTCCCCAATATCTTGTTGTAAACCGGTTCTAAACCTTTCCACACCACCGTAACTACCCTGATGTTCTGGTGTAAAATAAACCTTTTTCATTACCTCCTCCATCTCTGATGAATGGTTGGCAAAAATGATGCACATTTGTTTTCATTAGTTCTTTTTATTTCATAAATTGTACACACAATCTAATCATACTGTAAAAAACAGCAGTCATCAAATATAATCACACAGTCTAATCATACTGTAAAAAACAGCCGTCAAATATAATGAATAAAATCACACAGTCTACAAATATAATCTAAACACTAGTCAGAACTAAAAACTAATCATACTGTCGTCAAATATAATAATAAAGTTGTAGAAGAGACCCTCCGCAGCTCGCTCACTCCATCACCACCCCGGACAGCGCGTCCAGGTCAGCTTTGGACAGGCGATCGTACACCGGAAAAATGTCTTTGTGAATGGGCATCACAGCCCTGAATCCGTGCAGCTGCGTCACAGCCATGGTGAACAGAATCTCAGTGTCCAGAGGCTGGAAGCCGTGCAGACTGAGAAAACTTTGAAGAGCCGGAATCAGTTTAGGTGTTAAAACCCTGCGAATAATGTCCGTAAAGTGAAAATCGTAAAATAATTCATTTTCAGCTACGTAAAGACATTCGTGTTGCCGTTGACTGGGGTGATCGATCTTGCATCCGTGGCAGATGGTTGGTAAGTGAGCTTTGATCGCCATGTTGACCAAGTGAAGAAGACCCATTTTCACACGGTCTACTTTGTCTTCTGAAAACACCCAGTCAGGCAGACGGTGAGGCTCCTCATCGGTGCTCTGGATGTCGAGGGGTTGCACATCCTCCTCCTCCTCATGACCTGGCGGCGGCTCAGGGTTTGATGTCACCAAAGGTGGATCAGCCCCATCGACCCAGGGCCTGAATGGTACGTTCTCCGGAACCTCCATGATGGTGGGGAGTCGTGGTAGGTTATCCTCTGGAAAACACGATGGTGCCGATGCGGGCCTCGGACTGCCGTTGTATCTCGGCGGTGGTGGTGATGGTAGCGATCTGGACCTCGGACTGGTGTTGTATCTCGGTGGTGATGAATCCGTTAGTACCCAGCTCGGTGGTGGGCTCCAAAGGTCTTTAAGGGTCGTCTGATTGTAGAACCCCGTCATGCTGATGCCTAGATCGTCTGGATGAAATGGTTTCTAACTGTAAGCTCTTTATAACTAGTGCTGGGTGGGGGGGCGTGGTATGATGATGCAACCTCCTCCTCCTCCTCCTAAGGCAGGTCTTAGAACTCCAGCTTTTTTCGCACTGTCAGAATGTCGTTCCAACAGCGGCTGGTACGAAAAAATGAAGTAATACGATCCTCCACTTCATTTATTTTTTCACACCAGGCTTCGAAAGGTACAACCTGTAGAAGGCGGTAAATTCCGCATACAGAATGCACATTCTCCAGCACAAAAAAGAGCTCAAATCCTCTCACACGGACCGAGGCCTTGAACATCCACTCTCCATCAGCATCCTCTTCCCCCTCCCATGAAGCGCTGAATGCTGTCACAGCGTTCTGGATTTCATCCAACGTTGGAAGAGCTTGCGGCCCACTGCGATTGACAGGCGGACGAGGTCTCTCAGGATCATCTCTGTGCACCTTGCGTGGAACAGCCAGCCTGAGCACAGCCCAATCGTTGTAGGAGAGAACCGCTGGTGAGTTTGATAAATAGGATTTAAGAGGTTCGCCCTCAGCCACATCTTGGATTAAACACAGTTCCTTAGTGTCGTAGCTGAACCGGTACCCAAAACTACCGGTATAGCCGTAAGGTTCCAACTGCCATATTTGCTCCAAGATCTTTTTACCGCCGAAAGGAGGAACCTGCACTCTGCAGATGTAAAATGTAGATTTGCGGGGGGCACCAATTCCAGCCGGCATCTGATGTATAGCGATGGATTTTTCACAAAGCATGGTTTTTGACAGCGGCGTATCCACGCTCTCTTCTTTCACTTTTTGAGTTGAAGTTGAAGCGTCGGATGTAGTAGGCACCTCTTCCTCGTGGTTCATCATTTTTTCTTAGAGCTCGGCTTTTCACCATTCGGACAGATCTGAGCTTTTAAAGAGTTAAACACAATAGGATTACACTCAGAAGGGAGGGGCTGTGGGAACCGATGGGCTATCACAAAAAAGAAACCACACACCATTACACACATTAGCCTATGACGTGGGATATCATGGACGCTCAACAATACGCCATTGATGATGCGGCGTGGGGGGTCTAGACCATCTGGACACGTTCAACAATACGCCATTGATGATGCGGCGTGGGGGGTCTAAACCATCTGGATGATCAACAATACACATGTCCATTTGATTAATGATACGGAAGGGGGGGCAAAGATTGAACAATACACCTGTCCATTTGATTAATGATAGGAAGGGGGGGCAAGGTCAAGGGTCAAATGAACAATAGGAATGAAAGGTCAGAGAACAATAGACCTGTCAAAATGTTTGACGAAAGGTGTCTTATAATCCTCTCTCATGTCTTTAATAAATTAGACCAAAGCCAACTTCTTGTATGTGTATCAGTTATAAAGTTAAAGATAATTTTCTGTCTCCATTCCTGCAGCAGGGTTTCTTATTCAAAAGTTCGAATTAGCTGTAAGCAGAGTCCGTCTGGAACCTGTTAAATAAGCATTGCTTTGCAGAGGAAAGCATCAGGATATACAGAAAGGTTTTCAGAATTCAGAATACAAATTTCTTTTATAGCCATACAAGCAGTTGCAGTGGTCGTGTTTCTCTGTTATTGCACTTCTTAAACTACGAAACCTTGCTGATCACTATTTTAAACAGACAAATTAAACCAGGTAAACTAAGGGCAGGAGATCTCTCTCTTTTTAAATGCTTTTTCTAAATCAGCCACCTATAAAATATTTAAATTGTTGATTAGTACCTTTTGTTCTGCAGCTCCTCTACTGCGAAGTCTCCCGCTCACTCCAACAGAAGAGACTGACAGGCATGCAGGAGGTGCAGAAAGAGATGGAAAATGACAGGATAAACACACACCCCTGCAGCACACACACATGCATGTACATGCTAATATACACTCATCAAAACATACACTCACACTTTCAAACACACACTGGACAAACAAGCTCCCCATCATTATGGAGGCCCAATAGACGGCGGTGTGGTTGGAGGCACAGCTCCAGCATCTTGGTTGGGTTTATTTGCGTGCTATGTTCTTTCCTTTTGTAGCCTTTGGATGAAGTCAAGTTCTTCATCCTTCAAGTATGAGATCATTTCTAGAGTTTACTAGTCAGTTCTTGTTTTTTGCTGTTTGAATAGAAAACAAGAATGTGTAGAGCAGCAGATTAGAGGATTAGACTTCAAACCGTTCATTTCAACTGGTGGCTTTAACATATATGTTCATGACAAGTCCAGAAACATGTAAAAGTAGCATTTTTTTAAAATCACAAAATATTAACAAGAACTTGCTTATACTCATGCTGACCAGGAAGCAGCAGAAAACACAAATTTGTCTCAAATGTAGGTGTAGAGTAAATAAACTAATAAGAAGACTTTAAAATTAATTAACCAGCTATTTTTTTCTTCGTTTATTTGATTCAAAATATAAACAAATAAAAGAAATAAACAATAAGAAATACATAACAAAAAATCAAATTTGAACGAAAAAGAGCAGAATGAAGAAAAACATCTTATAATTTCTGCCCCATTTTCCAGTAGAAATAATCAATTTATATATAATTACCATTTGTCAGACACACAGATTCATTTTAAACTTTTTCCTGTTCTAAATTCCAGTGTGATCATGATCATTGATTTAATTTACATTTTCATAATTATTTAGTACACTCAATTTGGTACATTTTTTGAATATATTAATTTACAGAGTTTTTTAAATTTCCCTTTTAAGGTTATTCCATAATTGAACACCATTTACAGATATATTCCACTCCTTAATTTTAGTTCTAAATCTAGGTTTAGTAAACACATCAGTTTCTTTCAGCATGTAATTACTAGTTCTCTTTTCAGATATCCTCTAAATTTTTTTTGGCAGAGTACCTAAATTGGCTTTATACATGGTTTGCATGATTTTCCAGTCTTTTAAATCAATAAATTTCAGTAATTTATATTTAATAAACAATGGGTTTGATTGATCTCTACAGCCACTATAATTGATGATTCTCAGAGCTCTTTTCTGTAAAATAAATAAGGGTTGTGTATAGTTTTTGTATGTTTCTCCCCAGATTTCTATTTAAAGTTTTTGTACTGTTTTGGAATCATTTTCAGGTGGAAATAAAATCATATTTTTACTTGATGAGTATATTTAATATTTTATTTACTCAAAATTTACACACAAAGAGCAATATGCTTGTAGCGTGCCTATAACTGTACACATCTTACATATCAATCAGAATGAATGAATGCGTGTGTGTGTGTGTGTGTGTGTGTGTGTGTGTGTGTGTGTGTGTGTTTAATATTAGAAAAACAAACTTACTAAACAACAAAGGCCAAATAACTCCAGTAATGCGTTGAAAGGAAAAGGTTGACCTAGGAGGTTATTCTCTTACATGATTGGCTTCTAAACACGCCTGTCACATCGTCATTTCCGGTCTACGTCGTTGCTAAGTAACAGCGCCTATGCGTTTCGTTCGCCCGGTCAACAGAAGCTAACTAAGTAAATACATGCTAAAGAAGTTGATAACACGTGAAATTTCAACCAATTTGAACTATCAAACTGCTTTGTGGAGTCATGACAGCCATCAAAGACGGAGAGTACACGGCTACAATCTACGGACTGGTGAGAATATCTTGTTTGAGTTCACAGCTAGCCTAGTAGCGACAGTCAAACTAGACTTCGTTCAAATGCCATTACACTTAAGCGTGTCTCTATTACTAGATGATGAATGCACACTTTGTGTCATTTTCCCTTGTTGCTGTTTTCATCTCTAACATTCGGCTTTAGGCTGTTGGTGTTTGCATAAACATTATTCGTGCAGGAAATAGTTTGTGCCACGGTTTGGAGGGTATTATATTCGACTGAAAAACGATGTTTAATATTTGCTTTAAACAACGTTTTAGTTTGGTGTTTCTGTATGAAATCAAGTAATTTGTGTTTCAGATAAAAGACGGACAATATGTAGAGGCAATTCACATTTTAAATGGCCAACTTCAGAAACACATGAAGGTAAGTGAACTATAATACATTTTAGTTAACCTTCATTTAATCAGATGAGTTGATTGAGAACTCATTCTCATTTACATTGACGATCTGGCCAACAGGCAGCAGCAATAGACACATAATTAGCTTTACATAAAAGAAAAACGGATAAATACAGTGTTTCCCCTAGGAATTTTTCCAGCTGTGGTGGTGGTGGTGGTGGTGGTGGTGGGGGGGGGGGGGATGACACGTCTCACCTTTATGTTAATATTGTTTTATTTGATGCACTCCACTTTGAACTGCACCAATCCAGCGACTGCTGCATTGTAATAATAACTAGTATTAAAGGTGAGTACACCAATATTTGCACAATAATAATTTCTGTTTTAAACTCTCAGTGACACACTTTGCAGGGTGGATTTGGCATTTAATTTTTCTTGGCGTCTGGAAAAACATCTTCTTTTGCCCCCTTTATTCGACTTTCTGCCCCCTTTATTTTGGTCCAAGATCATTACTGGGCTGGCCCTGTTAAACACGTTCTACACCCCTGCTTAGTAGACTTAATGAAGTATTTTTAAGCCAGTATAAAAATGACTGAAACACAAATTTACATATTTGGCATTATTGACCAATATTTTTGATTTGATTTATTTGTTAAGAACATCAAGATGCATTACAGTGAACATTATAATAAACTGGGCGGACACTGTGCGACTTTTTCACTCGTAACACAGCTTCAGCTCAAACTGTACGACTTCAGCGCAGGGTAGATCTCACGAGTCATGTGCTCACACTGTACGTCTGGTAGCAACACGTCGGACCTAAAATATGCTAAAAAATAGCAGTTTTTACTCAACACGTCAGACTTTTGTGTCTTGTTTTTGCCTGTTGTCCTTCGGGAGTGCTGCAGGAGGACACACAGGGATTTATGGGGGTTTGATGAGGAAACGAAATAAAGAAAGTAAATCTGTGTTCTGTGATCAGTTTAATTTGACATGAACACGACAAACACGCTTTCTTGACAATCTTTGTGAGTAAAAAAAACGTGTAGAAACAAAAACGAACAGCGTGTGTTATTAGGGAAATAGCGGGCGAGCGGTGTTGATGCATGATTGCGAATGCGCCGTGAGCGGTTCTGATACTTTTTGGGTCGCAGCTGCTCGCTGCGCCGCTTCAACCCTCATGAGGAACGAGATAAATATCAAACACTCCAGAAGTCTGTGCGAGCTCACGATTGCTGATCGGTAGCTGGTCACGTGGTGTTAATCGCCTCTCGTAACCCCCTGTACACTACACGACGCTCAGCGCAAAACTCGCCCCGATCTTGTGGATTCTCGCACGAGAGGAAAATCGGCTCAAAAAAGTGAAAAAGTCGCACAGTGCACGCCCGGCTTACTGTCTGTGTGTGTGCGTTGATGCCTGGGCTGAGCTGACGGAGCTCCCGGCTGCAGTTTTGCGTGTAGGGAGGGGCGGGCACTCTATCTGACTGGCCAATCACAGAGCTTGAAGACAGTCAGTTACCCAGTGAGAATTTCATTCAGCACGATTACAGATATTTCCGAGTTTTACACTCGTTTCATGCTCGTATTTGTCAAAAATGCTTTATCCGTACGCTCATAGCTGTAACCACCCTGCCGTGCCTCCTCCTCCTTGCTACCTGCCGGCTGTGATCACAAGCAACAACACAGTAGTTCCTGCTGCTTCTTTGGGAAATGGCGCAAAAAAAAAAAAAAAAAACATCAATAAAACTTGGGATGTTGTATGCGTGGCGGTGGGATTTCAGCTGTGGCGGCCCGCCACGGCTACGCCTATGTAAGGGAAACCCTGAAATAAGATAAAAACATACAAGATAAAAATAAGATAAAACAGACATAAAGACAAAGGACTGTTCTCATATATAATACCGTAAATCCTCTAATACAGGCCCGGGCCTGTATTTGACTCAAGCTCATCGAGCTCCAGGCCTTTATTGGAAGGAGGGCCAGTATTAGAGGCAGGCCTCTATTTCTATTTGAGCAAAATGAACTAATGGTTCACTGGAGTTTTTGACAATTAATATTGCGCCCACATTTTCAAAGTTAAACACATTTCTTTTAACAACGGTGGTTTCTGCTTCAGCCCTCTCCCCCTCCCCCTGCGCAGCGGCCGCAAACTCACTGATGCGCCTGCAGCCTCTCAGAGTTCCTGCTGCTCTAAACATTAAAATAATTATTTCATTTTCTGTTCCTCACTTCTGATTACCTTCAATGGTGTCTGTTTGTTGCAACCACCAGGTACAAAAACTAACTTGTTTTTATTTGACTATTTTTCTGTCCTGTCTCTGTTTATTATCTTCCTGCATCTCCTCTCAATCCTAAAGAGAAACTGCTACCTGCCTTCATATATATTCACCTTATGAGTTACCTTTGAACTTCAGTTCTAAAAGATCTATTGACCGCAAAAACAGCGGAGTGCTCGCTGCTTGCCGGCTGCATCAGTGATCGGTGCGTCACCGGATGACAAGTTGACGCGCCCCGCTCCACAGCGAAACGCATCAGGCGCAAATAAAAGACAGAAAACATCAAAGGAAATGAACCGACATGAACGATCGCGTGTTAAATAATTTGGCAACACCTGATTGTTACTGTGGCCGTGCTCAGGAGGCAGATCCGACTGCAAAAACAGCGGAGTGCTCCGTGCTTGCCGGCCACATCAGTGATCGGTGCGTCGGAGGCAGCGAAACACATCAGGCGCAAATAGAAGACAGAAAACATTAAAGGAAATGAACCGACATGAACGATCGCGTGTCAGTACCTACGCACTGGCACAGCGTGTGTGTCCCCCCCCCCAGCACAGGAGCTTGTCACCTGCTGACGGCAGGCTGCTGTCTTTTCTGAGGGCTGCATCTTGCCGGTCATTATCACGTGACAGCGACTAGTCGACGACAGGCATAAAAAGTCACTATAGTGAAGTCGACTAGTTCATACAACCCCTGCTATTGCTCCCCAGAGTGTTCTGCAGCATAATAAGCACGTTCTCTTTGAACTTGATATCAAATTTTCGCCTCCTCTTCGTCTCCGCACAGTTAAAGTTACCCTCGCGGTCTATCACTGGCAAATCAAAAGTGAGACGATGACACAACCGCCCCCCGTACTTGCTTGTTACCACATTCCACCCGGCCACAATAAGAGACCGGCCATTATTCACCTCCGCTGACTCCGACACCGGCCAAAATTGGAGACCCAGCCTTTAATTGAATACCGGCCTGTATTAGAGGATTTACGGTATGTACAAGCAATGAAAACAGACTTTAAAAAGTCTTTAAGTACTCAGAAGCACATTGATCAGAAACTATTGTTTTTAATGAATTATTGAAGGTAGATAATGGAATGAAGCTGACTTCATCTTTGCAGCTCATTCCAGTCGTTGGAAGCAGCAAACTGGAATGAGGGCGACGGTGGCACAGGAGTTAAGAGCTCGCCCCGTAATCGGAAGGTTGCAGGTCCGAGCCCCGCTCAGTCTGCCGCTGTCGTTGTGTCCTTGGGCAAGACACTTAACCCATGTTGCCTGCTGGTGGTGGTCGGAGGGACCGGTGGCGCCTGTGCTCGGCAGCCTCGCCTCTGTCAGTGTGCCCCAGGGCAGCTGTGGCTACATCGTAGCTCATCCACACCAGTGTGAATGTGTGTGTGAATGGGTGAATGACGGATTGTGTTGTAAAGTGCCTTGGGGGGTTCCAGGACTCTAGAAGGCGCTATGTCAAATACAGGCCATTTTCCTTTTTTTTCCAAATTAGGTGCAAGCTTTGGGATTAACCATAGAGATTACGTTACCGGAACATAAATTGTGCTGGTTGTTGGAAGTGATGAGAAACGAGCAAACTGATGATTGTTTTGTATATAAACTTATACCAATGTAATATGCTGCCCTAATGGAGTGATGGCCAGTTAACGAGTGAGTACAGATCACAATGATGAGTAGTGAAAGGGGCATTAGTGATAAACGGATTCCTGAGTGATAAATGACATCGAATTTATGAAGAAGTTTTTTGGAGGCAAACCTATAAATGATGTCACTGCAATCTAAGATGGAAGGATTGTCATTTTGACAAAGGTTTGCATTGCAGAATGAATAAAGGATGACCTGTTGCTATAGAAACCCAATTCTTGACTTGACTTTAGAAAGTAATGGATTAATGTGAATGTCAAATTAAAGTGTCTGTCAAGTCAGATGCCCAAATACTTATAACTGATGAGTTGCAGTTCTGTACCATCCAGGTGTAACGTCACTTCATTACACAGGGAAACAATACTAGGGTGGAAAGTTGATTGCGGTGACTTAATGGTTGAAGATCATGTACTTTGTTTTATATATATAGACATAAAAAGACAATCCAAACTGGATTCAGCAGGTTCTTAGGCAAAGGTTGTTCTAAACTTCTGCCAAGGCAGTTTTTCCTGCTAGAAGATGGACCGTTAGTTGTTAAATCTGCGCCTAAATCATGGTTTTATGTTGCACTTATAAAGACAAACTCTTAGAAACCTGAAAATGTTTTTTAGTCTTTTTGAGAAACTCAAATATGCAAACTGGAGTAGTTTTTTCACTAAACAACTAAGTAAAAAAATAACAGATTTACTCATGTTTGCAATTTTCCCGTGTCTCAGTCCAGGGCAGCACTTTCTCTCCTGGGTTTCTGCTACTATCACATCCAGGACTTCAGTAACGCGGCTGAGTGCTACGAGCAGCTCACCCAGCTGCACCCAGAGGTGGAGGAGTACAAGGTGTACTATGCCCAGTCTTTGTACAAATCTGGGGCATATCCTGAAGCCACCAAAGCCTCATTTGCTCTGGACAACACTGACAGTCATATTAAGGTACAACCAACACACAGAGCAAGGGATCAGACACCAGTATGAAAGCTTTTTCTAAATACCAACTTTGTTGGGATTTGTGTTGTATATTACTCTAATCATATAATGATACATGAGTAAAGTCTTCATGGTTTGTGAAGATGTCTGAAATATTCAGAAATAATTTTGCTCTTGGAATATTTCTGCAACAGAGTTTACAATATTTATATAATTCATTGGTAGTAAAACTTGTTATATACATGTGTGTGTGTGTGTGTGTGTATTTTTTTTATTTTTTTTACAATGAAATGTTCTTATTTGGATAATTTATTTTTTCCCTCCACCTGAACCAATCCTCATGTAACACAGTCACCAATTCTTGTCATGTGTCTTGCCCATGTATGTCTGATCTCTGAATTGCTTGTACTGAAACTCTAATTTCCCTCTGGGATTAATAAAGTATCTTTGATTTGATTTGATAAGTTGTCTGATAATGAAGCCAACTACTGAAACATCCCCACTGAAGGACAATGGATGGAATTTGTATAATTCTTTCTATTAATTCAGCTTGCTGTGACCTGTTTTCTCTGTGTTTCATCTTGTTGTTGACACAGATGGTGAAACTGCAAGCCTCTGTCAAATATTGTGAGGAAGATTATTCTGCTGCCAAGGTGACAAACTTTTATGACACAGTTAACACACACACACACTCACACACACACACACACACACCTACACACACACACACACACACACACACACACACACACACACACACCTTACATTATCAATTTGCATGATTTTGCTCTCTCTGAAGCCAAAAAAAAAAAAAAAAACACATTAATGTGTGGTCTTATTCACAAAGACTGACCAGTCACGGTTATTTATGTTTATAGTCGTTGTTGGAGCAGCTTCCACCCAACGACCCGGATTACATCTACAACATGGGCTGTCTGCTCTACCAGGAAGGCAAATATGAAGAGGCCTCCAAGAAGTTTATGAATGCCAAGGAAATGCTGGGAAATGTGCCAGGTAATCTACCAAAGGCATCCATAAGGAACCTTTCAGAGAACCATTGTTTGTGAACTAAAAAGGAGGTGTTCAGTTTTGCATTTTTTATGAATGAATTAATATCTTCATTGACATTGAAACACATTCAACAAGATTAGATGCAGTCTTTAAGGCATTCAAGCCATGAACAAAATATAGTTTCTAAATGTAAGAGGGTAAGCAGAGCGTCAACATGATGAGGTAAAATTTAAAGAGCAAGTCACCCCCAAATCAACTTTTTTTGCTGATAAACTAAATAAACGAGTGTCTAATCGTGCTGCAGACACGTGTCGTCAATAATTTGGCACTTCAGTGCATCTTAGTTAAAATGTAAATATTCTGCCTAAAACTGGCAGTGTTGTGTCGTTGTCAGAGCAGGTTTAACTTCAGAAACTTTGTGAGGTTATGCCCAATCTTCACAATTTTGTTCCCATCCCCTCATTAAGTTCATGAAGTAAGCTAAATCTAGACCTCCAATCCAGTGAAAAATAAGTATCATTTTAAAGGACCTGTTCCTGCTGGTTCATTTATTTTTCTGCTGATGTCATTCATGTCAGTGTTGATCTACAACATCGCCCTGACCTTCTACAGCCAGAAGAACTACCCCCAGGCCCTCAAGTACATCACAATGATCATAGAGAAAGGAATCCAGGACCATCCAGGTGTGAACAACTGACTCAGAAGAGCTTCAGCCACTTGGTTCTTTTTATGGAATTTTTCTTCTAATTGCTCATTTATCCATCAGAGCTGAGTATTGGGATGAAAACCGAAGGCATCGACATGCACAGTGTTGGCAACACGTTGGTCCTGCACGAGTCAGCTCTAATTGAAGCCTTCAATCTCAAAGCAGCCATTGAATACCAGCTGAAGAACAGTAAGAACCTCAAAGTTTTATTTAAAATGTGATGAAGTCATAATTCTGGCTGAAATAAAATCACCCTCACTGGAAGGTAAACTACATGACATTTCTTTCTTTTTTAGTGCAATATACAGTTCTGCGTAATAAACACGTGCACGAGAATCAAGATGGTGAAGAAGAACTTTAGTAAAAGGACCATTATCAGATAACTTTACTAAAAGCTGTTGTTGATCGGTGTTGATAGAGCTGCAGAGAGATGGCATACCAGCTCTAAATTCTTGTTTTATTGTGTCTGCATCACAAGGTATATTTAACAACTGAGTTCACAGAGAAATCACTTTTTACAGGTCATTTTCTAAATATTTCTGGTCACTCTGAGTTTAGCATGCAAGCTAAATATTAAAATAGTCTTCGGGCCCTATTTCCTGCATTAGCTGCTGATAGAGGGGGACCGATTAGAAAAGCCAGTGACGTTAGCAGTCACTTTGTAAAATTACCATTCAAAAACGGTAAAAAAGGCTGTTGTGGAATTAGCTTCCAGGAGATGCAAAGCATGCCTTGTCTAGTAGCTAGCCGTTATTATTAGCAACGCCACACAACATGGCTAAAATCCCTCAGTCTTGGGTTATTTGTGGAGATAAAACATCAACATTGCAAAGCAAACAGTCAGTGGTAAAGTCATGTTGTTGTTAGCCAATTGGAGGGGAGATGTCAAAATATCAGGAAATAAGACTCCACAACCTGCTGTCTTCAGCTCCTCTCTCTCTTCTGGCTCACTTCTAGGTCCTGAAACAGGAGTGCCAGAGCTTTTTTTCCTGCAGAGCTTGGCTAAAAGCATTCATTTACATTAGAGACCTCTAACAATTTGAAAAACAAACCAAGTGAATTTGGTCTAACACCCAGAAATGAATATGAATCCCAATTAGGAAATTGAAATTTGGGGAAAACGTTGTTGAAATGAACATGAAAAGTGAGCCAAACTTTACTAGAAATTCTAGTTTTCTGCATCCAGAATGTGATTTGGGTTTTATGAGGAAAAAAACCCACAAAACTTTATTCATCTAATTTATTGTGCCATCCAGTTGGAAGTGGTGCATATCTCCAGCGGTTACTAGGTGAAAGGCAGGCTACACAAAGGACAGGCCTGCCAGTCCATCCCTAAGCCAGACAAACAGGCAAATGAGATACACAACCACTACACACTCACTTCTAGGGACAAACGTGTATTTTTTTTTGGTCCCTGGGAGGAACCAAATGTAACTGAAAATCCATGCATGCATGAAGAGAATGTGTAAAATTCACACAGAAAGGCAGCAGCCAGGTGTTGAACCTGCAACCTTCTTGTTGCAAGGCAGCAGTGCTACCAGCTGTTACTTCAAGAGAAAGAAAATGTTAAAGTGGTAGAAGAGAAATACCTGGACAAGAACGAATAAAGGTTCTTTAATCCAAAAAGGCTGCCTCTTCTCTCAACCCTCTGACCCATTATCAGACCAAAGCTTTGGAAGCTCACAGGACAACAAGCGGGAATGGAAACGTCTGAAGCCCACTTCAAACCATCTAGTTCAGCACCTGCTGCTCATCATCACACCAGGCACCAAAGCTAAGCTGCTGCTCCGAGGCTGAAATCAGGGCGCTTCCTGGTTTCTACTCATCTGAGTATTTACTTTTCCTGTCTTTATCCTCCCTAGCAACTAGAAAAAAACCAGTATGATTTACCAGAAAGAACAAAAACTAAGCAGGTAATACATTTATTTTCAAACACAGGTCCAAGCACACAGTTTCAGATTTCATTTTCCAGGGGAAATATGCCATTTTCTTTTCCTCAAATCCAATTAAGGTTTGGTTGGTTTGTGAAATTCATCCTGCAAAGAGGATTCTGCCAATAAAGTTTCTGTGTGCACTGACATGCTCTGCTTCCTTTGGTTTCATGTGGACTCTCGCAGTGAAGGGAGCTCAGGAGGCTTTGACAGACATGCCCCCCAGATCAGAGGAGGTAACTACTGCTGCGCATTAGCTCTCCTCAGAGGCTGGACGAACCGACAGTGTGGTTCTTCCCTCTGTTCAGGAGGCATCATTGGATTGTTTATTTTTAACATTTACTCATTTAGTAAGTCAGTGGTTTTAAATGTAAGTGGTGAGTTAACGTGGCTCACATGACATTTCTGTTTTTCTTTAGTTTCAGTCAGAGACTGCCTGGGCTTGTCCCGGTGTCAGTCTGAAGATTACACACATGGATTGATTAATATAGTAGAAACAGGAGTGAAGGCTTACATGGAGGCAGAACTGATGGTTTCATCATTTGAAATGCTCTTTTTAAAATTGGCGTGCTGCTCTTTGATCTGTTTCTGATGTGATTATCCACTACTGCCTCCTGATGAGACTCAATGCTGACTACATTCTGTCAGTTGAGTTGTTATTTATTTAACATGCACCTGTGTTTTTACTGATAGTAGTGTATGAGGACATTTAGGGCAATGTCTTAGGGCGTGTTATTTCATTTGTATCAGGAGTTGGACCCAGTGACGTTGCACAACCAGGCTCTGATGAACATGGACACGAAGCCTTCTGAAGGTTTTCAGAAGCTAGCTTTCCTCCTGCAGCAGCCTTCCTTTCCTCATGTCACCTTTGGGAATCTGCTGTTGCTCCACTGCAAACATGAGGTACACAAAGACACGTTCACAATAACAACAACACAACAACACGACAAAGATGCCGCCCAACAGCCACAAAGGTACCCACATGTACCTTTGTGGGTTCAAAGGACTGTCATGAGGTAGTACTTACTGTAGTACTTTCATCCTTCTTCCATCTCAGGAACATTGCTAAGCTGAGTCCCATTCTGTCTCACTCTGAGCTTGAGACAGTTCTCCACACCTTCATCTCCTCACGCTTAGACTACTGTAACTCTCTTTTCACGTGTCTGAGCAGAGCCTCCCTGAACCGTCTACAGGTGGTTCAGAACGCCTGTGCTCGGCTTCTGACCAAGTCCTCCAAACACACCCACATCACCCCGCTTCTCCTCCAGCTTCACTGGCTGCCAGTCAACTTCAGGGTTCATTTCAAGATCCTGGTTCTGGTCTATAGGGCCTTACATGGACAAGCACCATCTTACATTGGCAATCTTCTTAGTCCCTACACCTCCAGCAGGTCCCTGAGGTCCAGTGGTAAAAGCCTACTGGTTGTGCAGCACCAGGCTAAAGACCAAAGGTGACAGATCATCTGCTGCTGTGACGCCCAGACTCTGGAACTCTCTCCCCCTGAGCCTGAGACCATTGGACTCAGTGGTCTCCTTTAAAAAGGTTTTGGTGTGACCTTCATCACCTTCTCCTTATTCTGCTTTTTCTACCTATTCTGCCTTTCCCGGGATCCACTGATTTCCCTCTTTCCTATTCACTCTCTTTCTCTTTACGTACATTTTTAATCACAATTTGTAGGTTTTTTTCCTCTCATTTTATTATCTTTTTAAATCTTTTTTTTATATTTTTAAATTTTTGTTCTTGTGAAGGCCTCGTTATTTTTATCTCGAGAGGTGCTATACAGTATAAAAGATTGTTTTCTTCCTTTCTTTTCTTTCAAATATTTAAAAGATGGGACTCCATGCCTCTCCGCTTGATACTCAACATTAAGTGGTTCATTTGGGGGTGGGGGGGGGGGGGGGTGTTAAACTATCAAATTGTTCCCAAGTGCAGCCGTGTCTGCAGCTCACCACTTGAACGAGTGCCAGATAGATCTACAACTTGCCTGTTGAGGAATCTGGATGCTGTGCACAAGCGTACACCGTGTTTCTAGCTTCAGGCAGCATCATAGAACCATCGAGGTAAACCTTTTACTACCTGGGAACATAACATAGTCGGCCCATATAAAGGTCCCTTGAGGTCCAATATTGAATCTTGGAAAGAAGAGCAAGTTGTACCCTGGGAGTAAAACTGTGCTGCTTGCATACCTTTAGTTTTGACTGCATCAGCACTTCACAGCAAAGGTGAACACCCTAAAGGAGCAAGGGTAAAAGAAAACAGACACAGGGATTTTTACACCTATTTAGATTTTACTTCAGGGTTTCTGATAAAACACACTCTGTGCTCATTTCACAATGTTTGTTTAATTTTGTCATGATTTTAAGCTGTTTTAATGATAAACAACCCTTAAGTCTGACTGTCTTCAGATTGACTTTGTTATTTAACAGCCCTCAGCACTCATCTGTCATATGATGCTTCCTGTAGCAGTGAGAGCTCCACAGGAAGGGACCATTTTTAAAAGGATTCAAGCTCATGTGATGAAGGAGCTGCAGAGAGGAGCGGTTCTTTCATTAAAATGGTATTAACGTCTCTGCTGGATTTATTTCACAGTACTTTGACCTGGCAGCTGATGTCCTGGCAGAAAACGCTCACCTCACCTACAAGTTCCTGTCTCCAGTAAGTTTTCACGTGTTCACTTATTATTGAAGTTCAGATAAATTCAGATCCTCTGTTCAAACGACGATCCGCTCTCACATCAGGTTTTCTTTTCTCTTCCAGTACATGTATGAGTTTCTAGATGCCTTGTTGACGTGTCAAACTGCCCCAGAGGAGGTACAGCGCCTTCATTTGTCAGGTTATAAAAACACTGAAAGGTCTGATTGAAAATAACTTGAACAAGTAAAGAAGGTTTTTTTGAGGTGTCAAAACTTTTACACACTGTTGTTAAACTGTTCCTACTGCATCCACTCCTCATTTAGGTTTCAGTTTATTTTTGTATGCGCATGTGGTTTTAATGATTCTGTTTGTTTATGCAGGCATTCAGGATGTTTGATGAGATGAGCAGCAAGTTAACGGAGCAGCTTCGTAAGCTGGCCAAGCAGGTTGTTCATTTTAGCTCTCAGTCTGTCCTAATTATCCTGTCCTCACATAAATCACGTTTAACATCAAACCGTTATGGCCGGCAGAGGTGGAAAGAGTACTAAAATTTCCTACTTAAGTACGAGTACCAATACTTTGATAATTTTTTACTCGATTACAAGTAAAAGTACTTGCCTAAATTTTTACTTAAGTAAAAGTAAAAAGTATCATAAACAAAATGTACTAAAAGTAAAAGTTACTTAGTTACATTTTTGTCAGCGTAAGGATGGCTACATCTAAGTAGTGCTAAATCACAACGCCAGTTCACAATTCGCTCGTGTGTGTGCGCGCACACACACACACACACGCTCAGCTTGAAGGAGGGATTTCTATCCAATCAGTGAGAACAGGACGTGCACATTGATTGGATGAGGTTTTTCTAGGATGGTAAGTTTCAATTGTGGTTAAAATTATTCGTTATTTTGAGAAAAAATTATTTTTTAAGATGCCATCAGTGTGTGAGGTATCTCAATGTTTTCATGACAAAACTCTAACATGAGACTGTGTGCTCTAACCTGTCACATAACAAGCCTAATGCAGTCAAACATTTCAGATGGACCGTATGACAGCTGCTAACGTTGGCCCTGCCCTACTTTACCTCTATATTACAGTTCCTTTATTCGTGTCCATCCTAGAGCTCCTCTCTGACCTTCATGCTTATTTAGAGCAGCTGATTTTTAAAGTTAGCAGAGTTCATCCTTGGTGGTGGGTTCACTCACTCATTTAACCATTCACCACTGAAATCAGTTTGTTCATTCCAATCCTCCTAAATAATCCTCCAATCATCCAACTGGAATCCTTAAGGGTCCTGTAACGTCCATCCTGTCAGAACATGCCATGGGAGCCCAGGTGTTACTAGAACTAATGGTGTCTCCTCACCAGCGTGAAGGGGGGGGGGGGGGAGGACAGGAGAACATGCAGCTAATTAATTAAATAATTTGGTTCTGTACCTTTCTCTTCAGCACAGCCGACAAAGGTTTATGATGGGTCAGTCCTCCTGCATGCTCAGATCATTCCCTTCCCTTGCTTGAAAAATTGTTCCAAAATGAAAGTTGAACCCACATCTTTTTAATCTGTGAATTCAATGCCGTTCGGCGAGTCTCAAATAAAAATGTGGGCATCTTACTGTAAAAAAATATACCATTAATGTAAAAAAAGACTCCAAATAACAAATTCTGTTCACAATTGGAATCGAACCCAGGTCTTCTGCATGAGAGTCAGACATCCTACTAGGTGAGCTAAAGTACCCGTGACATTGAGTTTATCTGTAACATCCTTGATGACAGCTGAAACAACGTCAAACCAAAGAACAGTTTGGAGTGAAAATTGCTATTTTGTTGCTAATTTGCAGGAAATATCTAGAAGAAAGTTCTACAGAAAGTAGCTAAGGGTCCTCAGAAATGTAGCTAGGTTCATCACTAGGCGTTAGGAAGTTGGCACTACGTCTCTCTGCTGGAAAAGCTACGGATAGCAAATGCTACGGGCTATGCCTGAGCGTGAACGCGCATGAAGCAGCCTGCTCGACCCGAGCATCTCTCCTTTTCTGTGATTTTACAGAAAAACAGGCAATCACAGTAAAAATGCCAGGGCTCATTCTACAGGACCAGGGCATTGCAGGAGAATGTATGAAGAAGACATTTATTATTTCTATACATGTTTTGACTGTCAAACTTCCTTAGAGTCCCTTTAACATTTATGGACTCAACCACGACACGGAAGGCTGTTGTTGTTTAAGCGTGCTGATAACCGCAGAGAACGTCTCGACTGGTTAAAGCTAACTGTTACTATTGGCAACTCCACCACACAGCAGAACTACTTCATTGGTGTGTGGTCAGTTGTAGAGTCGTGTTGCTGTTATCCAATCAGAGGCTAGATGTCAGGAAATGAGACTCCAAAGCCTGTTGTCTGAAGCTACTTTCAGGTGCATCTGAGCCCCCGAGTACAACTTATAAGGCAATCATTCCTACTAGAGACCCCTGCAAAAGTACTGACTGTCCATCAGCTTTAAAAAACTTTAAGTGGAATTCATTTTTAAATGTTGATTCGTTATGTAAACACTCACACAACCAAATTGTCAAATAAAACAGGTGATAAGAATCGCTTTAGAACATTTAAAAAATAAAGTCTTCTCCATGACTAAAATTCTTCAAAAATGCGACTTTATCATTTTTAATAAGTAGTTTTAACTTTTGTTTAATGTGATTATGTCGGTTTCCACTCATGTTTATTGTTTTAACACCAAAGTAAAATTATTGACAGCAGTTTTTACTCATGATAAATTACCTTATGAAACCTAACTTTAAGATTTTTAAACCTTTGTTTTATCTTTAAGATTTGTCAGTTATTTATAAAGAAATCCAACATATTATGACCTTAACCGCCTTAGATGATGTCAGGGTTTTTGCCGGTGTAAGTTCAGCACAATATGTGGAGGTAATCTAGAGATTGAAACTGCAATCATACAGTAATCTGAACCAACATATCATTTATATTAAATGCTTATTTTCTATTATGTTAAAGAAACTACTGAGACACAAACTTCCACCTTTAGTAGAGTGACCTTTTGTTGTTTTAGTGAATACTTTTAGTTCTGATAATAATTCTGTTGCCCTGCGATGCAGTAGTGAAAACTTTTGGGTAAGATCAATTGAATCTCAGTTACAGGAGGCGAGGCTGAATCGAGACGATGAGGCACAGAAGAAAGTTCTGCAGGACTACGATCTGATGCAAGAGAAGTGAGGAAATGTTTGTTACTTCAGATTTTTACCCTTCCTGTTTTTTCTCAGTCATGTTGAAGGTGTTTTTTTCTCCTTTTTGTCCTTCTGTTCTGACTGATCGGTTCTAATCTTAGGTACGTCGTGGTCCTCATGGCCCAGGCCAAAATCTACTGGAACCATGCGCACTTCCCAATGGTGGAGAAGATTTTCCGGAAGTCGGTGGAGTTCTGCAACAACAACGACACCTGGAAGCTGAACGTGGCCCACGTGCTCTTCATGCAAAACAAATACAAGGAGGCCATCGGCTTCTACGAGCCTATCGTCAAGAAGCATTACAACAATGTGAGTTTATCAGGAAATTGTGTGTGCATGTGTGTGGAGAGGAGATTCTGGAGGGCTTAGTGTGAGGTTTACCCTTCTGTCCAGGTGGAGCAGTGTAACATTCAGGAGTGTCCCTGCAAGTGCAAACCTTCGGTAAAACCAATATGAGAGTGCTGCTTTCACTTCTCTCAAGCTCTGTGCATGCAGCACTTCCTTTGTTTGGTTGCTTGCGGTGTTTTTATGATGCTTATTGATTCTAACAGTCAGGGCGCTTCATTTAGTCACAAAGATGTGGAGTTGCATTTTAGTCTGATTCAGTGAAGGCCTCAGCTCCTCATTTACTTTTAAAGCCAAGTGTTGCTTATAGCAGATGCTGGAACTTCCTAATGTTCATAAGTGGAGATCTGATGTAACATTATCTGAACCTGCAGGTGTTTTTGAGTGTGTTCAATCTAAAAATGTTAAAGGTCCTGGTGCAGACTCAATTCATCCTGAATCACCTGTGTGTGTGTGTGTGTGTGTGTGTGTGTGTGTGTGTGTGTGTGTGTGTGTTTGTGTGTGCGTGCGTGCGTGTGTGTGTTGTTGCAGATCCTGAGTGTGAGCGCCGTGGTTCTGGCCAACCTGTGTGTTTCCTACATCATGACGAGTCAGAACGAGGAGGTAACATCCTTAGCAGCTTTATTTACCGTAATTTCCGGACTATATAGCGCACCTCAATATAAGCCGCACCGGGCTAAAAGCCGCAGATGAATTGAAAACGTAGTTTAACTGAACGTAACTGAACTGATCAGTTTCAAACAAAACAGAAAAGTTATTGATTAGTTTATTCATCGTCCTCCTGCGCACTGAAACCACTGAAGTCCTCTTCTTCAATGTCGGAGTTGAACAGCCTCAGAAGAGCTTCGTCACACACCTTTTCTGTGGCGATGTCAGTGTCGCTGTCCGTGTTGCTGTCATCATCCTGGGGTGAAGCTGGGAAAACAAGCAGCACTGTTTTACTGTGAAAAAAATCCTCCTGGGCACTTTCCGTAGCGCTCCTTTAACCATTCCTTCATTAGACTTTCCAGCACCCATCCTTTCTGGTTGACTAAAGCCGCACCTCATTACAAGCCGCATGGTTCAAAGCGTGGGAAAAAGTAGCGGCTTATAGTCCAGAAAATACGGTACTAGTGGTAGAGTGTCCGCTTATATCCGAGATCGGGGTTAAAATCCCGGTCGGGTCATACCAAAGACTTTAACAATGGAACCCAGTGCCTCCCTGCTTGACACTCAGCTTTAGGGGTTGGATTGGAGAGTTAAACCACCAAATATTTCCCGAGCGCAGCCACAGCTGCAGCTCCCCACGGGGATGGGTCAAATGCGGATATGAATTTCACCAGTGTGTGATGACTAATGGGACCTTTAACTTTATTGAAGACAAAATAATCGTACAGGTGAACATTTCAATATTTCATCCACTCTCATGAATGACTAGCAAAAGATTTCTGACTAAATAATATTTTTTTTACTGGTGTAGCGTAATGGTTGTTGGCTCTTTTATGAAAGAGGAACCATTCTACATAATAATCTGGAATATTAATTTTTACAAATTAATAACCAAATGTTATAGAGATAAGAAGACTCAAAGGTTGTTTTCATCGATAAACTGACGATCATATCCATTTGTCTGTGTTTCAGTTCAATGAAAAGACAAGGCTTAAATTTTAAGAGATTTAATTCTTCAATTTAAACTAACGATTTGAAATGACAATCATAGGAAAAACAATCAACATTTGCAACCTTGTTGGACAATCTTTAACAGTTGATATTTTAAGCTTGCACAAATAGACCTTGTGTTGGATGTGCTAAGATTTGAGAATGATGTAATTATGAATGCGTGCATGCAGGTGTCTGAGATTGCTTTAGGGAGAGAAAAGGTGATCTGAGTGAAAAATGATGTTTTGCAATTAAACTTTAGTTCTTATTAGAAAACCAGCATCAGAACGCTATCTATTGTGTTCTGCCTCACCGTACTTAGGACCCCCTTTAGATCCGGACCTCGGAGGATGTTTATCCAGGTCACACCTTGGCTGGCAGAGGAGACAAAGGTGTGCGACGATCCGGTACAGAGTTGACCTCGGTACACATTTCTGAAGCGTTTATGCAGATGCGCTTTCTCAAGTTTAAATTAACTCAGAAATCAAAAGACTCTGGGACGAGTCTGCATTAGCTGGTTGCATTTCAGCTATTCTGTCTGGCTTGACAGAAATAGCGTGGTGGGAGAAAAGAAGCCGGCAGGCTTCTTCCCCGTGGCGTTCGTTCCGCACTTCCTCTCTCTTTCGTTCCCACTCTCGTTCTGGCTTACTTACCAAAACCACTTCTCTTCCCAGTCAGAGCAAATGTGTTTTGAGTTACTGTGGAGTGGGACCTGTGTGAGCACATGTGAAGGTCATTGCTAAACATCTTCAAAAATATTATTTAATTAAGTACTGATTCATTATAGTTCATTATGATTACCCAAAGCATAATAATCATTCATTTGATTAAAATACATTTATAATGAGCAAAGTGATCAAATGATTATTTAACAAAAATAAAGGAAGTTTAAGACTTTGTTTTATTATTACTAGACTGTGGAGAAGTCCTTCTTCTGAAGCTGAAGGTGTTGGATGTTGTGGAGTCCTTCAGACTTGCTGTCGGCTCAGGTCTTAATCTGTGGGTGAAAGTGCTGCGTGACCCAGCTCTGACCCAGCCGGGCAAATACGACCTTTGGCACAGAAAACCCATACTTCCTCACGTTACACTGGACAGACATCTATTGTGATACAACTGTAGGGCTTATGGGTCTCAAATTTGGCCCATTTGATTCTTCAACATCCAGCTTGTTGATGTTGATGTTGAGTTTTCTTTTCTCTTTAACAGGCCGAAGAGCTGATGAGGAAGATTGAGAAAGAGGAGGAGCAGATCTCCTATGATGATCCAGAACAAAAGGTGTTCCACCACTGCATCGTCAACCTGGTCATCGGGTGAGTTTAACCCACGGCAGAGAGAAGATACTACACTGAATGATTAAACTAATTGAATAATCAAACTGTTTGTTTTTCAGGACGCTTTATTGCGCCAAAGGAAACTATGACTTCGGCATCACTCGAGTCATCAAGAGCCTTGAGCCCTACAGTAAAAAGGTTGGTCCTTTTCTTGGCTTAAAAATTTTATTTTTCCAAATTTTGTCAAATTCACTAAACATGACCCAGCTGCAATGAATCAGGAGACAAACAAAAGCATAATTCATCCATTTATCTGACCTCTCTTGCTTAAATGATTGTAATTGTTACGAGTTCCTTCAGAAAAGCAGTTTTCACCCATTTTTCCATTTTTATTTTTTTCATTTGTCTCCTTTTAAAGTATTTAAAAATCTGATTACAAACTAAAAAAAGAAATCCTCTTGGAGGACCACTGTGTTACATTTACTGACATCTAGTGGTCAGGTTGGAGACAGCAGCTTTTTTATTTTTCATGTTTTTGTTGCTTTGATGATGATGTTTCATGTGCAGCTGCCGGTTCTCACATTATGCATAAAGTATGAACATTTACTAGTTTGCTCTTGAAGAGCAACATTCACAGTAACCACAACTCTACTTCTACAAATATGTTTGTGTAGGGTTTGGTAAATTGAGTGCTTTAAGAGCTCAATAAATATATTACCTCTACTTATGACCAATAAGCTGTGATACTCCATCTAAATATAGAATATCAACCCTGTTTGGTCTTTACGGTGTTATTCAGAAGATTCTAGGATTCTTTATTTATTAGGGGATTGTAAACACTTTGTTTTGATTCAGAAAAGAGTCAGGTTTATAAAAGTAAGAATTTATTTTACCAACAATTAAAACATGTCAAGTTAACTAACATTTACTGTGATGGATAATTATTATAAGCTTATAAGTTGTAGAAGTTCATATCTGATTTAGGAAATCTGGGCTGTGAGTGTTCCTTATATGGAGGTATGAAGAGTCCTGAAAGATTGGACCTTGAGGAGAGAACCTTATTGTTGACATTTCATTATCTGTGTTCAGAGCTGCAGAGACTCTGAACTCCAGCTGATGGGATGAAGGCAGGCCGATTAAAAGGGTACACATGCAGTCTCGTGTCTCCTTTTTGGCCAGATGTTGAAAGGTCAAACTGTACTTAACCTTTTTCAGTGGCCTAGTGGTAGAGTGTCCGCCCTGAGACTGGGAGATCAGGGTTCGACTCCTGGTCGGGTCATACCAAAGACTTTGAAAAAATGGGACCCAATGCCTCCCTGCTTGACACTCAGCATTAAGGGGTTGGATTGGGGGGTTAAACCACCAAATAGTTCCCGAGCGCGGCTGTGTCTGCAGCTCACCGCTCCCCCAGGGGATGGGTCAAATGCGGAGAATAAATTTTGCACACACACCTGTGTGTGTGACAACTAATGGGACTTTTTAACTTTAAAAACTGACCATTGCTGGACGTTACATTTGTTACATTAAATGCATTAAACTCATTTGGATCATAATTATATATAAATACTTCTCATCTTGAATGTTTTATTTCACTGCTCGTGATGTTTAATCAGACAAGGACAATTACAAGGTCTGCAGTCTGTATCAAAGTCCTTAATAAAATCATTTTATAAATAAAAACACCTAGAGGCTGAATTAAATCCTGTTTCTTACATGAAACTGACCCAGAGTTTGTATTAATTCTAGGGGCTTAATATGTTGAAATGACAGCTATTTTATTTGTTGAAATTACAATTTATATGAAAAGGTTTACTTTCACTTTTTTAGAGGTATAATATTCAGCTGATAATTTAAATGCAGCCCCAGTTCGGTTCTATTTTTAAATACAAGAAGAGCGATCTCCTCCTGTTGGACCTTTGATCTCATCTTGTCTCATCACAGCAGCAGATTCTGAATGCAAGTATCTCAGGACCGTGGAGCCTAGTGAGATACAACACACACACACACACCACAAACTCACAACCGTAGCATCATCTTTGGTTGTTTCGGGGTGCTGCGTGGTTCTGTGTGTTAAACTGTCACTAATTACAATTCCCCCCATTTGGAAACAAACACAACTGTTTATGGTGTTGAGAGATAAGGTGGTATTGATTTGTGTGTGTGTGTGTGTGTGTGTGTGTGTGTGTGTGTGTGTGTGTGTGTGTGTGTGTGTGTGTGTGTGTGTGTGTGTGTGTGTGTGTGTGTGTGTTTAGTTGGGGACAGACACGTGGTTCTATGCCAAACGTTGTTTCCTGTCTCTGCTGGAAAACATGTCCAAACACATGATCATGCTGCGAGATGCCGTGGTTCAGGAGAGCATTCAGTTCCTGGAGCACTGCGAGGGTGAGCTGCAGTCACACGAGCGCACCAGCCTGATGTCTGTTACACAACACCCATTGTTCCTTCTCAACATCTGCAGATCAGTTTTATCCCCACAAAGAGCTCAGAGAAAAGAGATGGAAAGGTTTTGCTTTTTAGTTTCCCCAACATCATAAATAAATGCATCAAATCGGTGTTTGATGTGGATTAAATACAAAGAGAATAAATAGTTTTAAAACGGGAGTACATACAGTGAAAAATGTTTTAATATTTTAATAAAGAACAATTGTGATGCTTTCGAGATTTGAGGCTTTTAGCTCTGGTAATAATAAGCTAATGAGTTAACAGGTGAGGAAGCCCCGCCCATTCTCAGGTAGACTTTACAGTAGAAACATCATTTAGAGTTTAAACAAGTCACAGGAAGTTAGACTTTACCTGACTGAACCGGTCTTTAAGTTTTAGGATTTTTGGAGGTTTTTCCAGATTGTTCAACTGATGATGTCACACAAAAACGATTTTACAAACAAACTCTTCTTACTCCCGCAACGTTTTTAGTACAAAGGCAAATTATACATAAACATAATGAAACAAAGAGCCTTTCTAACTAGTGTTTCAGTGTATCTCCTACATAACTCTGTAGAAACAGAAACAACTCATGTGCGACCGTTAGATCTTTTAGTTCCTCGTAATCCAAGAATTTTATCAGAACAGCGTCTAGTTTTCACAGAGTATCTGTTTGTCTGAGGTTTACTCTTTAGTCTCAGAATCAGAATCAGAATCAGAAAACTTTATTGGTCCCCATGGGGCAATTAATTTGTAGCTTACCACACAGAATAACTCGCTCATAAAAACAACCAAGCCAACAATCCATTTATACAATCACACAATCACACAATGTGTGTCACTACCAACATGCCGAACACATCCTAAATGAAGGGTAGAGGATGAGCAGCAGCCCTCCAAAAATGGCACATGCTTAAAGCCGATGATACTTCGCTGTTATTTCGCCACCCCTCCCGGCTCAGAGTTAAGCAGTTCAATAGCTGATGGAACAAAGGAGTTGGCAAAGCGGTTTGTTTTTCGAGAAGGTACATAATAACGACGTCCTGAGGGCATAAGAGAGAACTCAGAGTGCAGAGCATGGAGGGGCTGACCAAGGATACATTTAGCCTTTTTTCGCGCCCTCTCCTCCCAAAGAGACTGTAAGTCTCTTTGTTTGGCGCCAATAATTTTGGAGCAGATTTTTACAATGCTCTGCAGCTTCTTTTTGTCCTTCATGGACAAGGCTTTGTACCAACAAACAAATGAAAATGTTAAAATGCTTTCTATAAAACAGCTATAAAAGTTGCAGAGAATCCTTTTATTCACGTTAAAATAGTTCAATTTCCTTAAAAGATAGATTCTCTGCTGAGCTCGTTTAAAAATGGAGTCCGTGTTTGTGACAAACCGCAGCTTGTTGTCAATCCAAGAACCAAGGTATCTGTACTCTTCAACCACCTCCACCACTTCACCGTGGATGATGCTACTACCAAGGTGGGGTGGTGCGGAGCGTCTAAAATCAATAATCATGTCCTTGGTTTTTTTGACGTTCAGGTCCAGGTAGTTACTGTCACACCATTCTACAAAATCTGACAGCGCGGGACCATGGTTTATTTCAGATCCCGAAAGTAAGGACATCAAAACAGTGTCGTCCGAAAACTTAACCAGGAACCTGTTGTTCTGAGTGACCCTGCAGCTGTCTGTGTACAGGATAAACAACAGGGGGGACAGAACGCATCCCTGAGGAGATCCGGTGCTGGACATTAATGGGAGCGAAATCTGACCATTAACCAACACCCGCTGGGTCCTCCCCGTAAGAAAGTTCAAAATCAGTAAGAGAAGCTGATCGGGCAAATTAAAAACATTGGCAAGTCTTTCAATCAGGATGTGGGGCTGCATCTTGTTAAAGGCTGAAGAAAAGTCTGCAAACAAGAGCCTTACACAAGTCCCCGTTTTATCAAGGTGCTTGTAGACCGTGTTCAATACACAAAGCACTGCATCTTCTACCCCCTTATTTTGCTGGTAGGCAAATTGAAGTGGGTCAAGTCTCCCCTCTGTCAGAGATAAAATTTCGGATTTTAGAATTTTTTCAAAAGTTTTCATCACAAGTGATGTGAGTGCTACTGGTCTAAAGTCAGACAGTTCCTTTGAAGTACTTGATTTAGGGATTGGGATTATAGTCTAAGTTTTCCACAAAGATGGAATCTGACCCACATCCACACATGTTTGAAACAATCTGATAAAAACACTACTCAACTGGTTGGCACAGTGATGCAGTGTACGCCCACAGATGGCGTCGGGGCCCCTTGCTTTCCCCACCTTTACCTTTTTAAGTAAGATGGTGACCTGGTCTAGTGAAATTACAAATCCCTCACTAGGTTTGAGGGCTTCATTGCAGACCCCAACCTTTCCAATAAGGTCCCCCCTCTCAAACCGACTAAAAAATGAATTAAAAACATCTGGCAGGACAGAGTCAGGCACTCCTTTTACATTGATAAGTTTCTTATCCTCTTTTTGGTGATTACAAGAAGCCATACATTTGATACCCTTCCAGGCTGCCTTAAGGTCACCACCGCTATACATTTCTTCTATTTTGTCCTTGTATTTTAGTTTAGCTTTCCTGATCTCATCTCGTACTTCTCTAGATATTGCTTTTTTCTCAAGGTGGTTGCCACCAGAGGAATAAACCACTTTCTTTTTGTTGATGATTGATTTAAGCTCTTTGTTTACCCATGGCCTATTATTTGGATAAATAACAACAGTCTTTGAGTGAACCAAAGAGTCCACACAGAAAGTAATATAAGATGAGACTGTGTCGCACAACTCGTTAATATCCCCAGATGAGTTAAAGAAGCAGTCCCAATCAGTACACTCAAAACACGCTTGGAGTGCTGAAATGTTATCTTCTGACCAGCACTTCACTGATTTCACCTCCCGTGGTAGCCTCTTGAACACAGGAATATAGCGGGGTATAAGATGCACACAGTTATGATAGGAAGATCCCAGAGGAGGAAGTGACAGTGATTTATATGCGCCACTCAATGAACCAAAACACAGATCTAGGGTCGTATTCCTGAGTGTTGTAGTACAGGTAATGTACTGTTCATAGGTTTTTAAAGTTTCCTCCAGACGACAGTGGTTAAAGTCTCCCAGAATAAACTTCGGAGCATCTGGGCAGATGGTGTCGAGGCGGTGCGTGACGTCATTTATCAGCTGTGCCGCAGTAACAGCGTTAGCTCGCGGATGGATGTAAACAACTGTAAAAAACAGCTGCTGGAACTCACGCGGCAGATAAAAAGGCCGAAGGGATATCGATAACAGTTCAATGTCTGGGGTACATATCCTTTCTCGGACAACAATAGTTTTACAGTACCTTTTATTGACGTAGCAACAGACACCACCACCGCGCTGTTTATCAGTTACCCCCTTGTCTCGATCCAGCCTCAACGGCGCTCCAAATCCTGGAAGCATCAGGTCTTCTTCCCGGTCCGACTCGCTGAGCCAGGATTCGGTAAAGACAAGGAGGCAGGTGTTTTTAATCTCCTGCCTTGTCGTAATCCAGGCGTCCAACTCGTCCAGCTTGTTTCTGATCGACTGAGCATTTCCGAGCAGGATAGACGGGAGAGCTGGCAGCCTGCGCCGATCCTGTAGACTCATGCGTTTAAGCCTCCGATGTATCCCCCCCCTCCTGCCCCTTTTCCGGCGTCTCGTCCTTATCACCAGGCCGCGGAGCTCCTCGGGAATACTCGGTGGCTTCAGTGCAAAGCCCCTCCCAAGCGGTCGAAGTCTCATGAGTGCCTCTCGGCTGAAGGTGATCCGTGGGAGGGCTCCTTGCCAATGTGAGGTTCCTTCGTCTCCAGGCTCTTGACAGACGCCAAGTACAAAGTAGAGTCCACCAAGCAGCCACAAAGTGGCCAATTTAAGCATCCACATTTTTATAGGTGGTTGACACAGTGGTTGACACACCAATCACACCCCATGAAAAAACTAGCAATCAAAACCAAAAAACTAGCAATCAAACCACTTCAGTCCGGCAGCTACCCGAGTCGCACGCTGAGGAGCGTCCTCGTCATCCCAACAACAACAAGCCAATCTTTTGAATGACTAATTTAGTCTGGGCTATTGTCTGACTTGTTTACTGTCAGGGAGCAACAGACATGGAGTTTTAGGCAGCAGCTGACCTGGGACCCCTGAATATGTCGTCAGAAATGTTTGTACCATCCATTAACTGATAAAAGTAAAATCACCTTTGACCTCTGACATGTGGCCAATGTGCAGGTTACGGGAAGGAGGTACCGGCGCTCATCGAGCAACCGCTGGAGGAGCTCCACGTTCACATCGGAAAGAACACCGTCACCTACGAGGCTCGGTTGCTCAAAGCCCTGTTCTACGAGGTCATCAGCTGGAACAAGTGAAACTTTTGTCACCAAAATCACCGACTGTGTCTTTGATCATCAGAAAACGGAACCAACACTCGTTCCTCCTCCTCCTCCTCTCGCGTTCAGGCAGCTTTTGTAGAAATCTCAGCTCAGAGATTTTTTGCAACGTTAAAATCTGTTAAATATAAAGTTTGTAGAAATGACACAGACTTTGTTTTTACTGTTATTTTTATTGTGTTCTAATATCTTTACATGAGTATCATCATTCTCCATGCAGTGTTTTGTGTTTAGTTGCTTTACTGTTTCAGCTTTCTGTTGCTTTATATTCAGATTAAATGTTGAAGTGATAAAACTATTTATAGAACACAAGTTATTTATATTTTTAAAACAAGTCATAGATGTCAGCTGCGTGTAAGTTAAATATAAATTTGAAATACGGATGCAGTAATCTGACTTTTTATTAAATTCAAGTTTCAGAAAAAAAATTACGTTCTTCTGTCACTGAAAACTTGAAACGCATTCAGGAACAAGTTTTATTCAAACTTCCTGGGTTTGTGTCGAGTTTTACAAACTGTTATGTTTGAGCCGACAGTTTGAAGAATTGTTATAAAATCTGAGACCAAACGTTGCTGAAACCTGAAAATCAGCAGAAATTTGCTCATAATCTGGAAAAATGCTGTCCTAAAATATTCAGAAACAATAAACACGACTGAATTGCCTCGTTTAAAAGAAAATGCATCTTTTGTAGTTCGTGTTGATTTAAACTTTTTTTAGATGGACTTGTTACAAATTTCATATAGTTTTTTACCGTTATTTTTTAAGCCTTAGTTTAAAATGTCGATAATATTAATCTTAAAAGGTTTTTCCCAACTTTGGCAGAAAAGATTTTTGCATGGATTTTACCGATATATCCATAAAATGTGTTTTGTTGGGCAAGGTGCTGTGGTTCAGGACAGCGGCCTCTTCGTTATGTCCTGTTCTGTCAGGTAAAAGTTCAGGTATCCTCCCAGAGCACCAACCGCCACCGCTGTCATGTGACTGGAGCAACCGTCTGTCGGAGCAAAGAAGGTAAACGAGTCAGAATCAGAGCGGATTCCTCTGGACCCTACAGTCGGTCAGAGAGTCAAATCTAAATATTTTTGGGTGAAAAGTTCAAAACAAATACAGAACACTGAAAATATGAGATGGTTAAAACTAAGCAAAATCAAATATGACTGTTTTCTAAAGTTATAATGGTCTTTACAAATCAGGTTCATGAAGTTCTTTGCACTAAATACCTCTCACATGAATTGATCTCAGCAACCTTCTTATTGGACTAGTGGTACAGTGTCCACCCTTGGAATGGCAGATTGGGGTTCAAATCTCAGTCAGGTCATACCAAAGACCTTAAAAAATGGGACCCAGTGCCTCCCTGATTGACACTCAGCTTTCAGGGTTGGATTGGGGGGTTAAACCACTAAATAGTTCCCGAGCACAGCCAAAGCTGCAGCTCACCACTCCCCACGGGGATGGGTCAAGCGGGAAGATGAATTTCACCAGTGTGTGACAAGTGGTGCTCGCTGCAGAACCACAAAGGTGGAGCTGCACCAGAAGGTGGAGCTGCACCAGGGTCAGCCCCGCCCATTCCAGAGTCAGCCCTGTCCATTCCATCAGAGTCAGTACAATTCCTTCCAGTTGTCAGACTTGATAGCATTCTGGAACCAAAGACGGTTTTATAGCTAAAAAATACAAGATTGAGGACGGAGGTGAGAAGTTAACTGAACAGTTTTTGTAAAGGTTCCATATAATTAAAAATCTAACTTTTGGATCTTTTTATCATGTTATATTGTCATTTCCTCATAAGAAACACGCCAAAGCCATTTTTGGCCTCATTCATGCATTTTCCTCCCATCTCAGCTTCAATTTGGTCTCCTCCCCTGAAGTGGGTCTGGTCTTGGTTCTCAAATCTGGATATTCTGTGAATTTTCTGACAAATTATTTCTGAAATGACTTCTACTGAGACACCGCCAATAAACCATACATCCCATCTCCAAAGACACACTGGATAGGACAATTACATGTAACGCCACTTACTTAATATCAGATGTGGTGGGGTAGAGGCTATGGAGGCAGGTTTGCTTGCAGTTTTGCGCAGGTTCGACTCCCAGTGGCAGAAATCTTAGGTAGATTACAACCCCTTTTCTTAATTTCTAGCTACACTTGCCAGTACTGTTTACAACAATTTACTGGTATACCGTTTACAATATAATGACTAATGTGTTTATTTATTTATTTGTTTATTTAGCCATTGTGAGTCCATTTGTGAGCAGAGTTTCAACTAAAATGCTGTTTAGGAACGACCAAATTCAAAGAACTTTTAGAGACATAAATATTTTGCTGAAAATAAACATTACAACTAAAATATAAACAAATTCAATGTTTCAGCTGGCTAAATAGATTGATGCCGACCTCACCGAGAATCGAACCAGCATCTGCTGAGGGGGAAGCAAAATTTGCTTCAGATGATCTTACCACTGGACTACCAGAGCACATGTGACAACCACCCATGCTGTTGCACCACATTATTGTTAGAGCGGCTGTGGGCACATATCTGCTAAAAGAAATCGTTTCATTTCAAGATGTATTCAGGCTTTGTCATGTAGCAAGTTATATTTATCTTGTTTAATTGGAGCATAGAACATAGCATTAACATTTGTAAAGTAGTAACAGCCATAATTCATGTGGGTCAGGTTAGTTTGCGATGAAGTTGGAAAACAAAACGGAAGTCAGTGGGCTAGGCTGAGTTTGCGTGAATGGGCGGGGCTGACCCTGGTGCAGCTCCACCTTATGGTGCAGCTCCGCCTTTGTGGTTCTGCAGCGAGCACCCTCTCGTGTGTGATGACAAATGGGACATTTTAGTACCTTCTAGAATTGGTCATTTCAAGGCTCTGTCACTTTAAGGATGTGGAACACTGAAAAAATTGTTTTAATTATTATTTCTGATTATAATCAGTCACTCTGAGTTTTTCATGCAGGCTGAACATGAAAATTGTCTCTGACACCGATCTCCTGCATTAGCTTCTGATAGAAAATAGATGTTGAAGCTCCAGGATTTGAAAAGCCTGACAGGTCACTGTCACTTAACATTCATGGACTCGCCCATTTTGACTCATGACAGGGAAGGCTGTTGTTGGTTGGCTAATAGAACAGACGCTAATAATTAGCATTAGCAATTCCACCACACATGCAGCAGAACTCCTTCTGGCTTGTGTTATTTGTAGTGATAAAACTACATTGCAGAGCAAAGTGAGTCAATGTAGAGTTGCGTTGTTGTTATCCAGTCAGAGATGAGATGTCCAAATATCAGGAAAAAGGACTCCAAATCCTGGCGTGTTCTGCCACTTTGTCCTCCAGCTGACTCCTCTGTTTCTTATTCAGGCATTTCTCGGCTTTTTCCCCCCAGAGTACGGCTTACAAGGCAGTCATTCTAACTAGAGACAACTACAAATGTATTGATTAAACACTTAAGAAAACAATCTGGAGCTGGCCATGGTCACTCATCCCCCACTCAGGCTGCTATAAGCTGAGAAGCTCCAATATCTGAAAGGGGCTCTTACATAGGAGGTGACAAATGGGACGTCATGTGACATCAAAAGTGGGAGCTTTTACAAACAGCTTGTTTTGGGCAAATAATTCCTAAAAACCAAACACTGGCAGAAAACAGATGGACATGTATTTGTTCTTTTGTTTTTTTTTTACATGTGGAGTGTTTATGGAGGCAGATGAGAACGCCATGGCAGCACAAAAGGTGAAGTTTAATTATTATGTCTTCTTTTAAAAGCAGCTAAAATATAACAAACCTTATTTTAAAAATCTATTTTAGAGAATAAAAAAATGATATTTTTTAAATTGTAGTTTTTTTTATTATTATTCTTTGCTGTGTATGGTTTGCACATCAGTTTTTTTTTTTCTTTTTGTTATTTAAAAAAATGTGTGGATTTGTGTTTATTGTTAAATGTGTAAAGTTGGTGATTTTGCCTGAGAACACTGATGGTCTAAAACCAGTGACCTGTAAGGATCTTCTCCCTCCTCTTCACTCTCCTGTGAGGCTGTAGCTGTTCCAGGAGCTCGTCTCCAATAATCTGTGAGATGATGCTCTCTAAAAGCACAAACAGCAGGAAATTGAATCATTTCCATTAAAAGCTTTGGTTGTTTCTTTGTGTGTCAATCAGAGAACAGTGAGATTGTTACATTGTCAGTAAGGCTAATGTTAAAGGAATGTTGTGTAATTAGCTTTAGCTTAGCATAAACAATGTAAGTGAATGTTAACAGCTAGCATTTACTGTGAAAATGACTCAATGATCTTAATTTTTCTTGTTGACCTCAAAAATCGTGTCGACTGCAAATTAAGATAATAACTAACATGAAAATTCCAGAAGTTGATTTAAACTTTGGACTACAAAGCACTATTGCAAGGCACAAGGACATGATGCAGCGACCCCAAAAGACACCTACTTTGTCTGTCATGTACTTGGATATTTTTAGTGTAACTTACATTGCTGTTCCTTCAAAAAAAAACTGTAGCTGTATAGTAGCCATGCATTTGCGTGTACAGAAGTAGGTATCTGTTTGAATTTGAATGATTGATATGCTAGCTGTTACCATTCACTTACATTGTTTATGCTAAGCTAAAGCTAACAGAATACTACCAGATCAAGAGAATGGCTGGGCTGGTTACAAAAGTATTTTTCCTTCTTATCTATCTCTGGGGAATACTGCAACAGAGGTAATTTCAACTTTTGTTACGACTAGTACTCACGGTCTCTCCCAAAGCAGCCGACTTCCAGGTCCTGCATCCTGAGGATGTGCTGCAGCCAGTCAGCTTTGTGAAAGTCAGAGAAACCAGACAATCCACAAATCAGGACTGTCAACCGACCGAGACAGGAGAAGAGGGACAGAGTCAGGATCATTGGAGACAAAGTCATCCCTAAACTTCTGTTTTCAGTTCATCTGATTTTTCTCACAGCTTTTCTTTTAAGACAGTAATTACTAACACTTAGACTAGTTATGGATGTGTGAATGGATTCTCACTGTTCTCAATAAAGATGTCAGCTGTCTGCTCAGTCAAGCCATCTCTAACGATGTCCTGGTTGGCTTTCATCATGTTTGAGCAGAAGATCTCCTGATAGTTCTGTTCAGTCATGTTGACTCTGGATGCACGCATGTCGCCTTTCAACAGGTTGTTGCAGCCTCTCTGAGATGGAAATTTAACAGTTTATAACATGAGCACAAAGACCGCACCCTCATCTTTTAACAATAACAGACACTTTTGTTTTGTTACAGAGCTTTGTCATTGGTCCTCTGGTGTTTTCAGTTAATGCAACAGTCTTTGATGTTCTCACCATTCTGCCGATCATAAAGTAGAGCAGCTGGTGAGACAGAGAGTAATGTGGACAACCAAAACGAGTCATGGTGTCCCGGCAGGGTTTGGTGACGATACAAGGTGTCCCGTTCATTTTCCTGTCCACCCAGAAACACATGAACCAAACGGGTAAGTGTCTTCACACTGGAACACAAGCATGGCTGATTTTGAGATTGTATCAAACTATCAGATCAAACATCTAGGGGAAATGATCCAGTCAGCGTTATAAAGCCATCTAATTAAAGTCAGAGCAGTTTGAACTGATTGGTACCAGGTTCCCAGCAGAAGCGTCAGACACTTGTCGCTGAGCTGCTCATCATAACACTCGGTGGTTATGGTAGAGGGGTAAACCAGACTGGGATCTGTGGAGTGCCACCCCTGAGGAATCAGCCAGAATGTCCAAGTCAGCAGAGGCTCGAACTCTGGAAGGAATCATTGATGAGAAAACTATCTGATCCGGAAAAGCATGTTGAGCTCTTTCTTTGGTTTACAGGTCAGACAATAATTCCAACTTTTAAAAGAGAACAGGACTGTTAGCAGAGAACGTTACGTCCTCCACTGGCTAGAAAATCTGACCCAGGAAAGGAAATTGTCTGGTACTGTAAAGAAGGTTAAATTTTCATTAAAGTAGAACTATATCATTTGGATTTATGCTAGGTATTATTTCATTTAGTCTTTTGCTGACATCAATTCAGACTCACAAGGTAAATGTTCCTGCTGAATGACTTTCAAACCGCAGCTCTGACGCTGTCTTACCTCGGTAGTATTTGGGGTCGTTCTGCTTCAGGGCAGCGACAGCCTTGTCCAGACTCAGGTCAAGACGTTTGAGCAGAGCGACGGTGGTGGTCCTCTGAGCCCAGCTGACTGGGTCGGTGTGAGGCCACGTCCGAACCGCTTCCTTCAGCTCAGCTGAGAGGGAAAACAAACCCGCTCTGTGTGAGCTAGTGTGAAAGGTTTAGACCCAAACGCTCAGAGAGCAAAAGCAAAGAAACTTTCCTACAGGTGAAAGTTGAAATACTGGAATATGGTGCAAAAGTCCATTTGTGTCAGCAATCCAACTTAGACAGAGAGACCATCTAGGCTCGGGAACCCTTTGCAGGTGTTTATTAGCCAATTACATGCACTGATCACCCTGCTGCCCTCTGGGAGGCGCTACAGGAGCCTCCGGACTAAGACCACCAGGTCAAGGAACAGTTTCTTCCCAACAGCTGTCAGACTCCTGACATATGACCCACGTTAAACTCATGGACTGCTTGTATTAACTACAGCCTGTACATACTTATAGTCATAGAATATTCATAACATACTTCATACCGTGTACATTATAACATACATAATAGATCCATTTCTGTAATATACTTATACATCTATATTATTGCTAATATATATTGTAATACATCTATAGCACGGCTAAAGCACTTCTGGATGGATGCAAACTGCATTTCGTTGCCCTGTACCTGTATACATGTGCAATGGCAATAAAGTTGAATTCTATTCTAATTCTATTGTAATTAGAGTGTGACACTTTGAATCTAGAATATTGAACCTTTTCACACTATTCTAACTGAGATTTTGAATGTGGGGTTTTCATCAGCTGTAAGACTGAATCATCAGTAATAATAAAGGTTTGAATTATCTGACTTTGCATGTAATGGGTCTATCTCATGTGTTAGTTTCACCCTTTAGGTTGAATTACTGAAATAAATGAATTTTTGCATCATATTCTAACTTTTTGTGTTTGACAATTTAGCAAAAATGTAATTGCCAATTTACAGATCTGTTGTTATTTTTGGTTTTGTGCCACTTAAATATGTCAGATCAGAAAGCAAATAATAGCAGACCAAAATAACCTGATCAAATACAAAGTGTAGTTTACAAATCATGATTTTATTTATTTTCAAAGGAAAACAGACCTGATCCTTATGAAAACCTGTGAAAACATGGGCTCAATGATTAGTACCACACCAGTAGAATTTCACTAGCCTCCGCACCTGATGAACAGATGTCTGGAAAAACTATTAAGAGCTTTTAAACTGGAAAATTAACTAAAACGTGTGTTTGAAGTTGTTAAATCGTTTGGATGACGCGTTTATTTTATACTCATTTATTAATTTCAGTTTGTATTTTCTGATTCAAAAGTTCTAAAGGAATCGTATAAATTTTATTGGAACAATAAGGGAGAAGCAGCGATTTAAGATTGGTTGCGTTATATAATTCATATGCTCTATATTTGTATTTTTATTTATTGTAAATAACACGCTATTAATCTGACTTCAAGAGTTTGTATTTATGTTATAACTAAAATTATTTTAATTAGTGATTGTGTTTGTGAAGAAATCTATGGATCTTCTGGAGTAGAGTGTGACTGGCTGTAAATGTTGAGGCTTATAGTTTCTCCTCTGAGGCTGGCAAAGCCAGTAGAAAGCTGCATATCTGCGCATTTTTCCACGAGCGTCCTGCAGCTGCAGCGCTTCGGGTTTCAGGGAGGATCTGGACCTACCCTGCAGCATGACGAAGCCCACTGCACCGTCCAGGTTGATGTGGTCGTGTTGTCGCTCCAGGAAGGACACACCGCGGGAGAGGCTCCCCAGGACATCGTCGATCACCTCGGCCCGTGTCCTGCACGCTGCTGCGGAAAGTAGAACCAGTGCGGTGGCCAACCGGAGCCCCGCTGCCCGCATCTTCTCTGCAGTCATTCCTGCAGCCTGGAGGCTCCGGGGTGTGCAGATGGACAATAAACAACTGCTCACAGGACAGATGGTCCTCTAACAGGGGGAGGAAGAGCAATGACGTCAGGCTGACCATCGCATAAGGTCAAATTATTAATATGTACCACACACCAATACCTATGAGTCATTTTAATGATACAAAATCTAGTTTCAGTAAAACTCCAAAATACAAAAGTTAACAGTTCACTTACAGGAGTCATTAAATATTCATCCGATCAAATAAAAAAAAAATTGTACACACATACACATATGTGTGTGTGTGTACATATGTGTGTGTGTGTGTGTGTGTGTGTCATATATATATATATATATATATATATATATATATATATATATATATATATATATATATATATATATATGTGTGTGTGTGTGTGTGTGTGTGTGTGTGTGTGTGTGTGTCAAGTGAGAATTTTACGGTGAAATAATCCCTAAACAGTAAGTTTATACTAAAACATATTACATTCTCAGTCGACCAAGGGGTTGTCAATTTTTCTCCTTTCAAAATAAAAGAAGGGACGTAACTACTGTTTAACATCAGTTGGTGTGAGGTTGCTGTGTATCCTGCGAGCTAGCGCTGCTGGCATGTAACTACACCTCGCAAAAAGCTCCAGAGTTGTTTAATGAACCAAAGCCAGTAACACGAGCAAAGGTTACTTCCTGTACCCCTAAGAAGCCATGACATCTTTTTGTGTTACTCTAATATCAAGTAAAGAAGGCTAGAGGCTAACATTGGCTGTGTCTCAATTCAGGGTCTGCATACCTCCGTCGGCCGGATTCGTCGGCCGGTTACGTCACAGCGCCGCGACTAGGCCTGTCCCAATTCCAAGACTCCTTCAAATGCGGTCGACGAATGCGGCCTTCTTTTCGCCTGACTGAAGGATGGGTCGGGTGTATCCTTCAATAGGTAGCATTTCCCAAGATGCCTTGCGGGCCGGCCGGCAGAAAAACTTAAAAACAATGGCGGACAGTGAAGCGGGAGCTGTCGGAGAGGATTGCGCATATAAATGTAAGTATAAACTTGAAAACTGTTAGGTTAAGGACTTTTTGTGATACATGAACGTTATTTTAGTTAGAAATGTAACAGTAAAAGTGCTTGTATTGCGGTCTCGGCTCGTACGTTCTGCCGCTCGGTGTCGTACTTCTCCCGCTACGTTTCCCCCTGATTTTAATAGAAGTTTGTATTTTAGGAACAAAAGAGAAAACCAGGGAATTTATTAAGCTTAGGGCGGAGATGGACCACATGATCACTGGAGTATTCGGCGGCTGTGGCATGGAGGTACAAAAATATCTCATATTTAAAAAAAAACTCGTTTGAGTTTATTTTTTCTGCGAAAACATGAAAGGAATAACCCGTTGTCCTCTTTTCTCTATCTGTTTTTTTCTTACATGTTTGTTAAGACTATTCTGGAGAAAATGGGCATCCAGGGGAAGGTGCCAGCGATGACCAGCTTCTGGAGCTGATCTGGGAGGACATGAGGCTGCAGAGGGAGGCAGAGCAGCAGAGGGCACAGAGAGAAGGGAGAACTTTGACAGCTTTTTACTTTGCTAGAAAAAAATGGTTAAGAAAGATTAAACATGTACATATAAAAGAAATATCTAAATAAAATCAGTTCTGCATTAAACTCTTGAATTTTATTTTTGTTTACAAATGAGAATTGTTTACTAGAGGGTATCCGCTGGGTCTTGAAAAGTCTTAAAAGGTGATAAATCGGTTTTGGTCAAATTAAGACTCTTAGAAAGTATTAAAAACTATTATCACATCTTTGCTCAGGCTCAGCTTGTCTAAAGTATTTTCTCTGAATTAGCTCTCCAACAGTCAAGGAAATGATTAACCCCCAGAGACCCACGGTTGTAATATTACAACATCAGATTTAAGTCTACAAAAATAAACCTTCCCCATTTTTTTTTTCTTTTTAAAACCACATTTACATTGCTAATAGGTCCTATTGTTCAGTTCTGCAACACTATTGACTGTTAAAATGTGTAAATAGGCCCGTTTATCTGGCCTCCTAGAACAACATGTGAAAGGTTAAAAAAAGATTTTGCAGTTGTTTTCTAAATTTGGGTTTCTGGGGGTTAAAAAGCTAAATAAAACGTGGAGCTCCATCGTTTAAAGTTCCTTCTCCCTTCTGCCCAGCGGTTCCACGGTTGCTAGGCGACGGAACGTTCGCCGAGGGAGTTCATGAAGGCTAGGCCTGTCCAAATTCACAGCCGTTAACATCCGGTCTACCCGGCCGACGGAGGACGCAGCCCACGTCGGCCGGGTGGGCTGGGTCCTTCGAAGGATGCAGACCCTGAATTGAGACACAGCCATTGAGATACAGTTGAGCTAACAATGCTAACAGTGATTTAGAAGCAAACAGTCAGCTCAAATATTATCTCAAGCTACTTTTTTAATTACCAACAACTTAATATATAGTAAAATGTATTTGTGATGTGATTAATGAGTCAATCGTGACATTTTACTTCATTAAATGAGTCGTTTTGAGCTATAAAAGCAAAACAACAGCACTTCTTCTATGCGTTACGCATATTACCATAGTAAGTGTAGTAAGTGCTTCCTACCGTAATCACCCAAGAGTGCTAGCACCAGATGGTAATGTAAATATCTTATCTACTTACTGTATAACTCGTCTTTGCTGGGTATCTGGAATCTTCTGGTGCAGATCCGTAACTGACAGCAAACACGAAACTCACACAGGAGTGTGAAAGTGATTGCAGTAACAAAATTAAACCACAGGATGTCACTATTACTCCATTCTTACACACTGAACCTTTAACTTTACATTCCCATAAATTAATTTTTAAAATAGCAATCACATGAAACTCTATATTAAGAATGATCCAGAACCCAAAACCACCCATAGTAACAGCTGTTAGCACATATCTCTGCTAATGTCTGTATCTCCAAAACAATGAGCTATCTACAACAGCTTAGATGTTAATCGTTCACAATCAATCCGCAAAAACTCACGGTAGAAATCTGAACAGTAATAGTTCCAGAGGTCAGAAGTAGTTTGGTGTGTCCTTGTGTCGGTGGTCTGATCAGGCATCACCTCATCCTCATATCTTTTCTCTAACACAGTGGTTCCCAAACTTATTTAGCCGCGCACCCCCTTCTATGTCCCGACCATGTCGACGCACTCCCAGCCCCCACATCAGGGCATGGCTCTCTCTATCTCTCTCTCTCTCTCTCTCTCTCTCTCTCTCTCTCTCTCTCTCTCTCTCTCTCTCTCTCTCTCTCTCTCTCTCTATATATATATATATATATATATATATATATATATACATATATATATACATATATATCAGACGTCAAGGTAAACAGACAGGGTTAAAAAAAATATGATCGACCTTTTTCCCCATCACTTTCATTTTTTAAATAGTAATTAATAAACATCCAATACCATTACAATTTCCTTTGATTTAATTTTAAATAAATATTTAGAGTGCCCAGGTAGCACATAAACAATGCAATTTAACAGTTTTCTTAAAGTAGGAACGTTTAACCTGTGCGGCCAGAGCGCTCTCCTTCCTTCTGTTCTGCATAAACCTGAGCTGATCACCTACTTGTGCGTAATCAAATGTCAATTGGGGGAAAAGATGGAAAAGATAAAGCCATGAGGTTCACTTTTGCCTCAGACCGACTTATTGCTGTTTTATGGTGTGGCTGAATCTGCGATCTGCTGCCACGCAGACTGGATTAACAAATGCTGCAGTAACAGGAGTTGTAGTCAGGTTCGGAGTCACTGGCTGGAGCGGACCCGACTTTACAACACATTCTCACACCCTAAGCGTCGGAAACAAACGCTTGGTCAGCCACCCTCCACGTCAGACCCCTGACGCCAAAAGTGCCCTTTTTCGTTACTTATGTGCAAAAAGGGGTTTTCCCCTTTTGTAACTGCAGATCCCAATGCAGCGTAAAACTGACGTGATTAGATATCCGCTGATGCGGCACCGAACCAGCTCACCTTAACGTTTCAGTATTTATAACCTTCCCCTCACCCTCATCCTAACCTTAACCCTCATTTAACCGATGCGGCACCGAACCAGCTCGCAGGGGCGTAGCACCAAATTCTGGGCCCTAGGTACAAGTCTTCTAGGTGGGCCCCCATGCTCAATTGTTTAATATCTCTCTTACATATTTTTTGTCATGCTATAAGACAAGATAATAAATATGATCTTAGTTTAACCTCTATATTGAGCAAAAACAAATGCCAGCATAATAAAAGTGAAATGCCCAGACTTCACATATAATTATTTTTATTTGCCAACAATGTGTTCAAACAAAAATCCTGGAATTCATTTTCCAGTAAATGCCCACTGACGGGTCTTCATGTTAGCGAAATCACTTATGAGATCTTTAAAGTCCAGTCCTTTGGCTAATTGGCTTTCAATAGATCATGAATTAGGTCACCAAAATATAACCTAACATGTCCTTTCAGATAAATCTGCTGCTAATGATTGCTTGTAAATTGAATAACTTAATTGTATAGTGAGCTTACCTTGTCTCATCTCCTCAGTGCTTTCTGGAGACAATGAGGGCCCTGCTGCTGCTGCTACTGCGTCTAAAGTGCCATGTGGTTCATGATGTTAAGCTTTGCTAATACTGATATATATATATTGATATATTAAATACATATGACATGAAATAAACCAGGTTCTCTCTGTGAATGTTATGTACTCTAAATTTTATAATCCCTCCATTATCAACCAAATTATAAGATTGACCGTTTTGAAGATCAAATATAAAGAAATTTAAAATAGCCTTAAAATATCTAACCAAGTCAATAACAATCCTCTAACACCAGTGTCATCATGCTATACGAAAAACAGTGGCAGCTTCACATTCATGAGATGATCACGAATCCATCGATACCAAGTTTGTCCTGGTCCATGACTGGGAAGGAGCTGAAATATCCACACAGAGTGAACCTGTTTTTACTGCGAGGTCCGCGAATTAATTGGTGGCGGCCGCCCGCGATAATAATTCTGATTAATATATATATAAATTAATTAGTGTTATCA